AGTGTCTTGAATTGTGCTTCACAAAAATGTCTCTCCTGGGGCGAAACCTCTGTGTTTGAGAAACTGACTGTCTTCTAAGCAGTTCTATTCCTCTGCACTGTGTGGTTGACATGGATAATTGGAAGATAGTCTTGAAATGTCTCCTTCACTTGATCTGCCTGGGTTGAGCGCTTTAAATTTCTCATTTAAGCCCATTGAGACTGGTATGTTGTTCCCAGGGGAGACTGTGGAGGCACAGAGTTAAATAACATGGCCAGGTTCTCACAGCTAGTAAAAGTGGAGCCAGAATTCACACGCAGCAAGTCTGACCCAGAGCCTGCCTCTTAGCCAAGCCGCCTTCTCAGGGAAGGGCTGGCAGGAGATCTCCTGCAGGGAGCCAAGACATCTGTATGGATTTTATTTCCCTGGTTTTTTGGTTAGAGATGGTACTTCATTGATCATCTGTACTAGTATTCTAAAATAGCTTTGAATAAAGAAGGAATCGAGCCTTGAGCTCATGGTTCTAAGTGTACCTAACAGCTGTTAGGATAAGATGGTTGCAGATGGATGTGTTTGCTGATGGGCTCACGTGAAGTTTGGTGGCTCTTCTGACCTCTGGCAGAAAGTTCTGAGGTTGTGACAGGCACATTATCTCTGGCCCTTTGTCAGGTAGCGAAGCAATTACCAGAGTGATTCCATTAATAGAGTGGAAGATTATATCTATGTCATACTTGCTATTTCTTGAATATCAATATTTAAAAATCAACGTGTGATACACAGAAAAGGCTAACAGTATATTCAACGTAGTCATTTTTTCAAACTATTAATGTTTCATCTCTACTCCATTTTATGTTAAATTTAGGTTTCAAGGCAGGCTTGAATTCTTTGGCCTTTGTCTTGCAGATGTCTGCTGGGACACTTCCACTGCAGAGACTAGCCCTTCATCTTTGTACTCAGCACTTTGAAGTTGGTCTTTGTTTTTGAGTCTGTGCCTTTTTCAGATTATTGATGTGTGGTTGTAAAAAATTCCCCCCTTCCTTTTTTTTTTAAAGACTTTAAAGATAGTAGATTGAAAAAGAAGCCCAATTATGAGTATCAGTACAATCTGAGCCAAAATTGGATGTTTTAAGTAAACTAATGCAATTTAACTGTTCTTTGACATCATATGAATATTTATTAGGACTCTCCTGAGCTTTTATCATTTCAGGCTTTTTCTCGCTAACTTATGTTTCTGTAAGTGAAACAAATGTATTACTATTTGAGAGCATCTGTGTGCCATGCCCTGTGCTAGGCTTTTTAAATAAAATATTTTCATGTGCTCGCCACGTGGTAGATCTTGTTGTAGGATACTTGGATTATGGCAATAAACAAAACCACAAAAATCCTTTTGGGTTCTGGTGGAGGAGAGAGAGAAAAAATGAATGCATGCAGTAGATGGTTATAAATACAAAAGTAAAGCAGGGATGAGAGATGGGAGTGTAAGGCAGGCTAGCTGCTATTTTAAAGGGGTGCAGCACGGCTTCACTAGAAAGCTTTTGTGGGCAGCTCAGTGGATAAGATGGGCCCTGCCCTCACATAGCTTTCAGTCTAGTGAAAACTGCTTCCTGATGAGCACTCGCCATAGGGCTAGGGAGTCTGTTAAGTACCTGTGTGCATTTCCTCCCTATCTACTGAGCTAGGGCAGCTTATTGCTAGTTTCTCCAGAAGGAAACTGAAAATTTGAGAGTGAAGTAAATTGCCGAGATGAACATAGCTAGTGGGACAAAGATCTGACCCAAAGTCCATGCTCTTAAACATGGTAAGTCAACTCTCGAAACATTTGTCGCGAAGGAATTAGCCAACTTTGAAGATAGGGCTGTCTTTAATTTTGGTTCTGATGGGTTGGGCTCAGGGAGAGTCTTGTGTTACCATAAACTTCCCCTCTGCCCTTGTTTTTTTTCTATTTAAAAGGCCTTGGAGTTGTGCTCTGGCCACAGCCGGCGAGGGAGCCACCTGGTTACTAACTTCCGTGCAGTGGGATGTGTTTGTTACGTGTCAGAGAGTGGCCTCTAACGACTCCAGATAATCATTGACTACTTGAATTCTTGGCACTGCATTTTAGTGATAGGACACTAATTTGGCTGGCCTGAGTGTCATTAAGTTCAAGAGCATGTTATAAATGCTCATATTTAGAAGGGAATGTAAAATGATTGAAAGATTATAGTTTCAAGGTCACCGATTATTTCGTGTTTATTACAGGATAAGCTGTACCTTGTATTTAAAGTGATTGCTGTATTGTAATAATAAGTAAATAGTAAATGAGTGTGTTGGATTAGAAACCTTATAGAGGGCTGTGGAGAGGAGGTTCAGGGTTCGAGAGAGCTCTATTGTTCCTTCTGCCTTCAGTGTGCTTATAACATTCAGTTCAAAGCATACCATTTTTAATAGGGCGGTGATTTTTCAGCCTAGTTTATCCATTGCATTGAGTATTGCTGATTCTTTTGTGCTTTGGATAATTTAATATCTGAAGAGTGTACGTTGGTCATTGATCTAAAAAGAAGCTATATGTTTACAAGCCTAAGTGCTATTTTTCATTGTTAGTTTCTAGTAACTTTTTCCCCTTATCGACTACTTCCAAAATTAAATGTTGTTGATTTTTACAAGATGATATTCTTTTTTATTCGAGAGAAGCTGTGATTTGAGCTCTTGGGCAGTGAAATTCTGTTTATTTACTTTCTTGAAGTATAATATACATACAACAGGGTACATAATAAGTGTACAATTCAAAGACTTTAGAGACGGAACACACTCAGGTAGTCAGCTTCAAGAAAAAAATATAAGAAATTATCAGTGCTCTAAGAATCCCCCATTTTTTCAATCACTTCCACCATCTTACCCCACAATGGTAACGACCATCCTGAATTCTAACACCATGTCCTGGATTCGCCTGCTTTTGTACTTGAGTGAATGAATAATAACAACCTGTTCTCTTTGTGTCTGGATTCCTTTTGTTTACCATTCGTGAGGATGAACCATATGGTTGCAGACAGTTGCAGGTTGTTTATTCTCATCGCCACACAATAATTCATTGTGTGGGTCTTCCATAATTTATCATTCTACTGTTAAAGAAGTATGCGTAGCTTCCAGTTTATTCTATGGTGCTTTTATGAATGTTCTCATATATAACTTTTGGTGAACATATGTAAGTATTTCTGTTGCGTATAGCCCAAGGAATGGAATTACTGGGTTGTAGAATATGCATATACTTTGCTTAAATAGATACTACTGAATGGGCTAAGGGTTAAAGTAGTTGGCCAATTTCCATTTCCACAGTAGTGTGAGAGCTTGTGAATTTTATTTTTGAAATGCTGTTTTGGGGGTAGATGCGAGGTGCATGTCGTTCTTAGGTTCATTTTAGTTCATGTTTGTTTTATGGAAAGGAATGGTCATGGCTGTCTCTGATTGTTTGAAAACTAAGTTAAATATGTGTGCTCATTCTCTTCCCTTTTTCTGTCTTATATTTGTTTTATATATGTCTTACGTATAACATATGTGTGTACATTTTTATCTTACAAATATACTACTTATAGACTCTTAGACTGAAAACCACTTTAGAAGGCTTCTACAGTCTCTGAATTCGTGATGATCCTGCTTATGTGTTTGTAATGACGGAAGGCACATTATTTTAGGGCAAACCATCCCTTTGTTAATTAACTCATGTTGCTTCAACATCATAGTGACATCTGTCTGTTTTTTAACTTCTCCCATAAATATTATGTCCTTTTACAGGTGTGTGTGTGTGTGTGTGTGTGTGTGATTCCCATAAATATTGTCCTTTTACAGGTGTGTGTGTGTGTGTGTAGTGAGGGAAACCCATGAGGCTTGTATAGAGCAAAATCTCTTCAGGCAGAGATTCACAGCAATTTTTTAACTGTACTTCTCAATATCAGCCCGGTCTGGCCTCTGACCAGTTTGCTGGAGAACTTGAGTGAAAAAACCTACATGGACAATAGAGAACTCAGTACAAAACTGCCTTTTTTTCCTTTCCTGTTTCCTGATTTTTTTTCTGCCACAAGCACACTTTTTCCCTTTTTGATTGAATTTAAAAATTATTTACAATAAATACAAAAAATGCAAATAATGCATTTTAAAAATCAGACTGTAATGAATAAAGTAATGAGAAAAATACAACCTTTTATAGAAAACTTTTATAGTCCATTATATTTCATGAAATCAGTGAATATGGAAAAATTCTTCTGAGGGATAATATGCAGTCTAATACCAGGTAGTATTAATATTCATAGAACTTTAGAATAAAAATGAGTTTCTAGTTGATAGTTAATAATTTAAGGTTCATAGATATTAATGGATATTTCTTCTTTTTTCTTTATAGGCAAGAAGAGACTGACAGGAGAGTGAAAAATGTAAGATATATTTAATGTAATATTATAAATGGTTTTTTACTTTCTCTGTAATAAGGCAGTGAGATCTAAAAATATCTGGCATACTCTGTATCCTTTTTCTAATAGAATTTGTGCTAGAAACCAACCAGTCACAAACTCTAAATGTGTTTAAATATGGTTAAAATATATATTTTTCTGTCTTCATGGTAATAAGAGGTCAAATTAAACGTAGTGGTTCCTTGCATGTTAGTAATGTGGTAAAGGCAAATGAACACACTTTAGGATTTTTAGGAGAGTAAGTCAGAAACCATCAAATCAGACTTGAAGGAAAAACACTGAATGTTACGAACTCTGGGTATTTGCTCAGTGTAGACTTATACAATAACAGTCTACATGTATTAGAAAAATTTCTAAAAATATGACAGTTTATTAAAAACACAAGAGCTCAATATCCTTAAAGAAGCTGAGAATTATTACTTTTAAGTGTCTCTTAAAGTTTTTCCGTCTTCACATATACTAGTAGAATGCATGAATAGCTGCTGGGATCTGGGCTTTTGGTTTGAGAATGTGCTCAAGAGACAGAAATCTAGGAAGAGTAAGTAACATTTTTAATGACCCTTCTCCTTCCTAAAATTTAAAAGAAAATCTACTGTCAGCCATAGATAGATATGATATCTTTTATCTAGAATGCTTACTTGCGTTTGAGCTTGCAATCAGTTGCTATAAATAGATTGATCTTTTTGTTTCATGGAATTTGTTTTAAAGGTTTTGATAACGTTGTACTGGCTGGGAAGAAAAGCACAAAGTAACCCTTACTATAATGGTCCATATCTTAATTTGAAAGCGTTTGAGAATCTTTTAGGACAAGCTCTGACTAAGGTAAGGAAACGACATCTGTATGAGACGACTACTCTAACTAACATTACGTTCTCCTCCTCTTCCTTCCCCCTTTTCTGTTTTCTTTGTGCTTCTCTTCATTTTTCTCCTCTATAGCAAATATAGCAGCATTGATGGTCTGTCTTTGCTCTGGTCTAAACTGGGCTGGGTAGAGAGAGTTGTTACTCATTTGCTGGCTTTGTATGCCACCACCAGGCAGTGAGTGAGTCTATTTCAGACCAGTTTCCAGGGTATAGTTTACAGGTGTAGGTATTTATCTCTTAATTTTAGGTAACTTGGTGATATGCTCATTCGTTTTCGTTCATAAAGACTTTGTATAACTTAACTCTCTAGACTCATTATGAATTTGATCTGCAGTAGAAAGGTGCTTCAGGACTATTAAAATGTGTGGAAGCTACTCAAATTCTTCATCTTAATGTCTTTTTGTCATGGATGATTATCTTTAATGGCTACACTTCAATATCCCCATGATTCTACTATACCATTTTTGTCCCCCAAAGAGTAATAAATGCTGTTACATGAACCATGATAAGGTTTTTCAGAGTTAGAATCCTTTGTTTTAAACACATTTTTAGTCCTTTATATTCTTGAATCAATGTTGCAGCTTTTGAACAAATGTTTAAGGGTGGTTTGAAGAGAATTGAGTGTCGGGTTTGACAATAGTTCTGGCAAGTCTTCATTTATAAGATCCAAATAAACGTCTCTAACGAGATATTTATCTAGGGGAAAATTAACGTCTCTAACGAGATATTTATCTAGGGGAGTTTGCAGTGTGCTCAGAAGAAAATTTACAGTCACAATAATATATCACTATTTAATCATTAGTAATTACTCCATGGATTTTTGTTATGATTAAATGATACTATACCAGTAAGGCATTTAGCATTAGTCTCTGGCGCATTGTAAAGATATGATGTTAGTTACCATGATTGGAAGATAGAAATTTTAAACCAGGATGTAAATGGTTCCTTTGCTTTACAAGTATCCTGATGGTTAAATAGTTTTGCCTGAGCCCAGGCACGTACATTTAGAAAGATGGGATTGTATAGCCTGGAACAGTGGTCCCCAAACTTTTTGGTACCAGAGACCGGTGCTCCTATGAGAATCTAATGCCTGATGATCTGAGGTGGCACTGAAGCGGTGATGCTAGCACTGGGGAGCGGCTAAAGCTTCGCTTGCTGACCTGCCGAGTGGCTGTGTGGCCCAGTTCCTAATAGTCCATTGGCTGGTAACATCTGTGGCTAGGGGTTGGGGACCCCTGGCCTAGAAAGTTCAGGTATTCCTTTTTGATTTTTATTATTTTTGAATTGTAAAGAGTTGATAGCACTCCATTCAAATTCCTTGAAACAGTTAATTTAGATAATAGTTGAGATATTACCTATCATGCACAGGCATTGTACCGACTGTTGGGAAAACACCCACACAAGGCAAGTGACCCATCTTCATAGAGCACAATTGTCTGTTGGAGGCAGACGAGCAGGTAGTTCACTGCAGTAGAGGAGGGTAAGACTGATGGAGGAACATGCAGGGGGCTTTGGGCGTGATCAGAGCTTTGCCTTAGTTACTTCAGCTAAGAAAACATCCAGTTAAAAACAATGTGGTTGCATTGGTTCCTGTATTAGTGTTCTTTTAACAGCCATTGGTCCTTTTTGTGGCAGTCTGACTCAGGCTGAAGAATCCTGGCGCAGTGTTTGTGCTAGGAATGCTTAATTAAAGGCTGTTTCCTGTCACCAGTGTAGGTAAAATCAGAGTAGATAAAAAAAAAAATTGATAGGTAAAACTATAGCTGTGGTTCCATTCCATTATTATAGAGCGGGGATAGCCACAAGAGGTGTGAATATATAATTTGTTTTGCATCTGTTCTGTTAAAATCAAAACCATTGTGTTCATCAGACTTTCCTACTTAAGTAGATAATACTTAATGGCCAATCTGAGATATCAATTAAAATATTCTTGGGGTAAGCTGGTGTACCTGTCATCCTGTAAGTTGGAGGTGACTTAGTCTAAGTGACTTGTCAGAGTAAAGTCCTAAATAACCAGGTATTGGGGTCAAACTCAGGTTCTTTTATAACTGTGGTGACCTGTTATAAATAACTAACATTTATATAGTAAAAAATCATCTCTTTGTGTTGAGATCGCTAAAGCTTCAACAAGTACATATCTAAGAAACCTGATGGATCAAAAGATTTACTTAATATTTTTTATATATATATGTGTGTATTTGTGTGTGTGTGTGTGTGTGTGCGTGTGTGCGTGTGTAATGTATTTTTTTCCCACATGGATACCTTTATTCTTGATAGCATTTAGCACTGGAGCTGGCGGAGAGGGGTGGGGCTGCGAGTGGGGGTGGATCTTTTAATATTTTGAGACATATTAGGCCCAGCTTCCCCATCTGCTTGGAAATAGGGTACAAGGTAGGCGCTTACATTGTCATGGCAGACGTCAACTCTAACACCAGGGTGTCTGGCATCTAAAGCATATAAAACCTCACATAAATCTGCTAGACCTTATTGGTGCTTCAAACACTTGTCAAACAATTCAACTACGAATTGACAGATCTGATCTTAGCCAAAAGTATGCCCGAGACAGCTGCTGATTATTCATTGTAAACATTCTTTTGTCAACTTTTTCATATGTTGAGAATGGACATAATTAAAAGTCGATGGAATAGTATAACAAATAGCCAGTTATGCATTATTCAGTTATTAAAATTTTTCCATATTGACTTTATACATCTATCTATTCATCCATGTTTTATTTACTTAATCATTTCAAGGTAAATTGCAGAGGTCTCACCCCTTAATAATAAGTGTTTTTTAAAAGTAAGATATTTGTTCGTTTGTTTATTGGTATATGGAGATTCTTCCATGTAGCCATGATATCTATTATACTTAAGAAAATTCATAAATATTCTCTATGATCTAATATTCAATCTATATTCAGAATTTCCCGATTATCTCCCAACTTTGTTTCATAGCTTTTCTTGTGAATCGTGATTCAGTCAAGGTTCACATGTTATATTTGTTTGTTAGGCATTCCTAGGTTCATCAAACTGTCTCTGTATTAGTAAGCTCACTTAAAAGTAGCATTCCTGGGTTTTACTAGAATGAATTACATTCACCATATTAAAAAAATTATAGGAGCTATTCACTGATTTTTACCATGTATAAGGACTGTGCTAAGGGCTTTATAAATGTAACTTAAATCCTAATTTTAAAAAGTTTAGTTGTATTTTGCTATTTACTTTCATAGAGGAATGTCAGTTAAAAACACCTTTGAGTTAAGTTCTATCTGATTTAGAAACCTGTGGTTAATGACATTTGCCATATTTCTATATATCTGAGCCAAACAAATATTTATTTAGATCCCAGGAAAATATTTGTATGTCGGCAAACAAGTTTGCTTTCCTTGGTTCAGATCTAGGTTTCATAATCAGTAAAAATAAATAAATTCTTTGCCATATATACCTACTGTATTTGCCCCTCGCTTTTTTAAACCTTTTGTTAATGAACTTTCACTGTTGTGATTTTTGTTTAATATACATCACCCCAAATATTTCCTAGAGGTAGGCTGAATGAATATAATTTGTTATCTTCTTTTGGATAACAAAGTTAAGGTTGGTTTTTCTTTTTGAGTCCTTTCATATTTATTGCCAGATAACTGTAGATAATCATCGATTTTAGCATTTGAATAATCTAATTAGAAGGTTTTCTTATTAAAATGTCCGCCCTTCCTTATTTTCAAATAGACCGTGCTACTTTATTAAGAATACTGAATACCTCCTTATTGTTACATGAGTGCCAAGTATCACTTGTGGGAAAACAGATTTATTTTCTGATTTATTTTTATTTTTTACACCTAAAGCACCTGGTCTTCCTAGGTCGTCTTCCATCTAAGTACTAACCAGTCCCGACCCTGGTTAGCTTCCGAGATCAGATGGGATCAGGCTTGCTCAGGGGAGCATTGCTGTAGACTATTTTCTGATTTTTTTAAATCAGATTTTTTTAAACAGGAAATCTCATTGCCACCTATCAAATGAAGCACAACTTGAGCTATGCAAACAAACATTTTTGGAATTTTATGCTAACTTACTACTCTTTAAAAAATACGTTTTTAGGCCCTTGAAGAGTCTAGCTGCCTGAAAAGAAGTGGCAGGGACAGTGGTTACGGTGACATTTGGTGCGCTGAAAGGGGTGAATTTCCTGCTCCTCCGGGCAACCATCAGAGAGAAGATTCATTTGAAAGCTTGGACTCTTTGGGGTCTAGGTCATTTACAAGCTGCTCCTCTGATATCACGCTGAGGGGTGGACGTGAAGGTGAGTTACATTTTTGACTGTCAGTGTATTTTTATTTGTTTGCATAATAACAGAAAATTGGGAATAAGAGTAGAAAAATGGGGTGAAAACTATCGAGGTAAAAATTTCACCAAGAAGTGGATTTTCATAGAGACCAAAGTGTAATTGTTTTCTGTTTTTGATTTTCCTTCCTCACTGTATCACCAGTAGAGGGGTGATGGTTTTGCTTTTTTTTTTTTTCCTTCCTATTTTTAGAGAAGACTGGAGAGGACACAGTTAACTTAACTGTGACTTGTTTTATCAGTATTAATGTATTTTGATTATTTTCTCTCCAGATTCAGGTTTAATAATCTGTGCCTATGAGACCTATTAATTGGTCCATCTAATTAAAAAAAAAAAAGCTCTAAAAAGTCTGTTCTAGTTCCTGAGTTATTTTCTTTCTTTTTACCTTTTCTTAAAAAACAACAACAACAAAAATATTCTCAAGGAAAAAAAAAGACAAAAACATCTTTTTAATGATCTCTAAGAGGAGAAATGATTGATACCTTTCATGATGTATAATACTAAACTTTGGTTAAGTAACAATACTAGCTTGGTGTTAGAAAATACCTTTTGATTCTGTCAGAGTCAGAGCTAACCCAGCTTAGAGTTAAGTGCAGAAGGAACATGTTAATGAAAGTCATTCTGTGTGGGGAAGGAGCCTTCTTTTAAAATACCAGTATTACGGTTATATCAGTTACTTAATGCATCTTACACCTGTGGTCATTGAGTGGTGTCAATAATTTCTGACTGTATACCTCTAGCAATTCAAATTTAGTCAAGTCAAAACCATGAGTAGAATTGCTTCAGATATTTCTGTACTTCTACCATCAATGTGAAAAAAATTGAGAGTTCTGCTTGTGAGTTTGTGCTAGACTGTTATGAATTTTACCTGTTTATTTTCATTATTGTTTTATTTAATTTCATTATTACATTTAATAGTAAATGTTTTCTCTAATGTTTTTATTATAAAAAAAATTTCAAACATCATCAAAGTTGGAAGAATTTTACAGTGAACACCATACCATGTATACACCACCTGGTTCTACCATGACATTTTACTGTGCTTGCTTCATCACATACCTACCCCTCTCTCTCTATGCATTAATTTATTCATCTTATTTTTTGAGGCATTTCCGAGTACATTACATTTGTCATAAATGCTTTAGCATGCACATCATTAATTATAATTCAATCTTTATTTGTTGCTTTTAAGTAAATCTACATAAATTTAATGTAATGTACAAGGAACTTGTCTTCCAAAAATAAAAATCAGCAAGGAAATTGTTAAACATTGTCATACACACAAAAAATTCTTGAGCTTTTGTAATAGTGGCATTTCAAAATTAACAAAAAAAAGTAAATGGATATTTAAGAGTGAACCTTTTTAATGACCGCTGTATTTGTTGGCTTTTGGCTATCTAGGTGTGACACTTTGATAGCCTAGATGACTATTATGAATCTGATTTTATAATTCATATAAGTGATTAAAGCTGTAAAAACAGAGGCTGAAATTTTCAACCCATTTTACATTACTTTGTTCTGACTGAAGAACCTAAAACATTCAGTGTTTAAATTTATATCTAGCTAACAAAGAATAGAAGGAAAAAAGATTGATGCATTGTAGGAATGCGCAGTGGTCCAGTGGTGTGGAATTGAAGTCTTCTCAGATACTCATTGGACTAGGTGCCTGGTACATGTGATGAAAAGCAGAGGGCCACTGTCACACTGCTTCCTGATCTTAGGAAAAGCGTTACAGGCCTTGTTTAACCAGAGTAAAGGGGAGAGAGGAGCGGTAGATAGGGGTAAAAGTGGTCAAATAAATGGTGACAGAAGGAAATTTTACTTTGGGTGGTGAACACACAATGCAATATGCGTATGATGTTTTATTGAATCGTACACTTGAGACCTATATGATTTTATTAACCAGTGTCAGCCAATAAATTTCATTAAAAGTGTAAATGTGAAGACTTGGTAATCACAACTAAGGGATGAAAAAAGAAAACCTGAGGGCCTCCAGGATGATAAGCCTTCTTTTTTTGTGTGTGTGATAAATACATTAAAATTCTGCTACCTGCCAAGTAACAGTCCATAATTGATGATCAGCACAGCTTAAGATAATATTTTTATGTTAACAGAATTGCAAAGTCAAATTCCTTAGTTTTATGTGAAACCTCTCATGTCAAGAATATTTGCCTACTCTATAGGGTACTACTGTACTAAACTCAAAAATAAAAAAAATTAACTTTAAAAATTCATGCAACGTACGACATGACTATAGTTAACACTATTATGTGGGGTTTCTGAAAGTGAAGAAAGATTCTAAGAGTTATCATCACAAGGAAATTTTTTTCTTTTTTTCCATCTATATGAGAAAGATGGATATTAACTAAACTTATTGTGGTAATCATTTCACAATATATGTAAGTCAAATCATACCATATACCTTAAACATACAGTGTCGTATGTCAATTATTTCTCAATAAAAATGGGGAAAGATTCTAAAGTGAAACAATCTCTCTGTGTATTTAAGATTTTACATGTACAAATTTTAGCAAGAATTAAGACATTTTTCTTATTTCTAAAAAATGTACTGTTTACTTAGGACGTGGTAAAAACAAACAAAACACCAGATTATTGACTATAAATCCTCCTGGCTTTAGCTGCTTATACTTTCTTCCTTTTCACTGTGCATGTCCTTTACCCTTTTTGGTCTCATGGTCTCAGCTGTCTGTTATCCACTTCCCATAGGCTATTCTCAGTGTTATTTACTGTAGATTCCTGCCAAGCAGGAGGGAGGAGGCAAGAAAGCTTTTAGCTCAGGTTAACCCCGCAGGTGCTCTCTGTGCTGGGAACCTGCAGCTCTCAGGGACTCACATACTTCGCACAGCCAGCCTCAGAAAGCCCTGGTGGGGAGCAAGCCATATTCCCCTACTTTCTTTAAAATGCACAGAGGCAGGAGGGAAAAACGGGCAGAAAAGTGAGGCAACCCAGCTTGGATCTATAGTAGTGTACACTTTTCTTCCAGTGTCTTTAAAAGAGCACATTTATTTATTTATTTATTTTTAAGACGGTGGATTTGGATCATTCTGAACTTGAGGGGTATCCAAGTATATTCTCTTGAATTTGTATTTAAATGACTTTGTATCAAAAATATAATTTCCATGGCCACCCTCAGAAAGAGCCTTGACTTCTGTGTTCTCACTTAGGTATGAGACTCTATATTCTTTTGGGACTTTAGAAGTCTTTTGGTCCAAGCTCGTATCTAATGTGTGATTCTTGCTTATAGGGGTCTCAAATGGCTCTACCAAACTCTTTGAGATCTTGTGTTTTTTCTTCTCTATGTCCTCCCTTATTTCTTGCCTCATGGATACTTTAGGTGACTGCATGCTTCATTTTAAATTAGTTTCCTTAGAATTACTTTTATATCTTATTTAAGTGTCCTTAACTCATTTGCTAGGTTTTTTCCCATGTATTCCATCAACAAGTTTTATGAGAAACTATGGGATAAGGAAGATCGAGAGGAACAGTGGTTTGGCTGTAAATTAGTACTTTTTCTGCTTAGAATATGCAAGAGTAAAAGAATGTACTGTACGCTCCTCCAGTATGCAAAGCAAGTTCCTCCTAATGGATCTTATCACAACTTCATGACAAATTTCTAAAAATATTCCCCGCAGTTAGCAGTAGAGCACTGAGTTTTCAAGGGAAAAACAAAGCAGGCATGCTGTGAAGGTTTCAGTTAGAGGAGTAATCTGGAGAGTAAAGAAAATTCTTGTGCCTCTTTTCTAGGTTGCGAAAGTGACACAGATTCTGAATTTACATTCAAAATGCAGGATTATAATAAAGATGATATGTCCTATCGAAGGATTTCATCCATTGAACCAAAGTCTGCTTTACCATTCAATCGTTTTTTACCCAACAAAAGTAGACAGCCGTCCTACGTGCCGGCACCCTTGAGGAAGAAGAAGCCGGACAGAAATGAGGATAATAGAAGAAGCTGGGCAAGCCCTGTCTGTGCAGAAGCAGATGGAACATTTCCAAGGTACTGCCATGTGATATTCGATTATTGAGTTTTAAAATCTGCTGTACTTGAGAATTTGCTGGGATTTTTAAACGTGGTACAAGGAATAGTTCTTAAAATGTATTTTATAGATTAAAATATATTAAACTTCATTAATAGAAACATTTTTTTCTTACCTATATTTTTAGTCACACATGTCTTGAAGATATTTTATTTCATTTTAGAAAATTAGCATATGATTTGCCTATTCTGTTTTTAAATGCATGCCTTTAGACTAATTGGTATCTTTTTAGCTTACCGGATGACTTATATTGTTCATTGTGAGCTCTGCTGTGTTGTTCTTTTCCTTTTGTTTTTCTGTGTTGATTGATCTCAGTGGACACAAAAACAATCCTTTAATTTTGAATAAAATTAGCAGAGCAGAATGGGACTTTTCAAATCCAGCTTCCTATCAGAAGGAGGTATGCAGTTCTGAAAGTGAATCGGACGCCGAGGATGAACGAATATTGCCTGATGTAGTTTTGGATGACTTAGTCAATTGTAGATTTTAAGGGAAAAAGGGGCTGGGGAATTTCATCTCAAAAACTCTCTCTCCTAACTCTTATTCACAAATATTTTCTCCTACTGACACAGTAGCCACCAGGCTATACAAACCAATGAGGTCAGAAAAATTTCTCTTGGACCCAAATGTCTATTCCGTTGATTTTAATGCATAAAATAACATCTCAAATTGTTTGCAGTCTGTCTCTTTTATCACATAATTATCTTTGGCCCTTGTGTATAAGCTAGTCTCTAAGTAAACAAGATACTATTATAATGCCTTAACTTTGTTCTAGGAGCTGTAACGATGAGAATGGAAATTAATTTGCTTCATTCACAGTGGTGTAAATTTTGTGGGCCAGAAAGCATGCCTTTTGTGTTCTATGTCACAAATTGATCATGCATTATGTTAACTGGTTGGGTGTTTTGAACAGTAACGAGAGGAGAACTTGGAGCACAAATGTGAAGAACTGGCCAACAGTACATGAAACTTCAAATTCCTCTTGTTACTTGGAAGAGGAAGAAGAAAAGGCAAGCATACCCAACATTGTAAAGGATGATCTTTATGTGCGAAAGCTAAGTCCAATCATGCCAAACCCAGGGAACGCTTTTGATCAGTTTCTTCCCAAATGTTGGATCCCAGAAGATGTGAACTGGAAAAGAATAAAAAGAGAAACTTATAAACCATGGTATAAGGAATTTCAGGGATTCAGGTTTGTCTTTGTCCGTGTTTCTGTCATTCCAGTGTTCGTTCAGTACCCTGGCTGGGTCATGCTATGTGTGCTTTTTAGGAAAGAGACAGGTTCATTTCCTTCCAACATCTGTGGAACTTCTGTAACTAAAATAAAATTAAAAAAAAAAAAAAATAAATAAAGAAATAATGCTGTTTAAATGTAAACTTTAGGATCTCGATCTTAAAAAAGCCTTCTTTTAAATACATAGTCATAGCTTGTCATTAGATTTAGTTATATTTTTCTCCAATTCTTTGTTGTCTTCTCTCTCTCCTTCCTTTCTCTGCCTCACTGCACAGTAGGAGGAATTCAGACTCTGAGGATGAGGATTCAGGCTCCGCCATTTTTAGTAGGATACAGAAAGCAGAGCATAGGCTAGACAGCAAGTGCCAAAGACCTTCACTCTTGATGGAATTAGCTACCAAACAGGCCAGAAACTCACGGAACACCCATGCAGCCGGGAGAACTAGTGGCGCTTCGGACGAGCCCAGGTGTACCTGTCTGCATGAGCCTTCCTGCTCAAGTCTGGCCTATGATACCCATCCATGCCAGCTTCTGCTGCTACATTAACCTCTGACCGTGATGTGCTGAATCATGAAAGCTTATCCCTTAATATTTAGTATAAGAGCATAATGTATAACATACTGCTTTCTGTGCAGGCATGTAAGCTTGGAAGTCTATAGGATTAAATATTCTTCTTTAGCACAATAATGTATAAGAGAGTCTAGAATTACATGTAACATAGTCATTTCTTTTGGAAAATCATTTAAAGGGCTTTCGGGAAAGTTGACCTAATTTTACAATTGTGCTATGCATGGAGAGGTGGAGAAAGGAAATTACTTTTAGACAGACACTAGGACAGGCAACTCTGGTGGGAAAATGCAAAGAAAAGTCTCATCAGAGTTTTTTATAAGCTTCACAGCATTTTATTGTTTAAATTTCTGCTGACTACCTGTGCTTCATGACCAACTCTTGAAACTTTTCAAGATCGTTGCTGTTCTTTGGGATGGGAATTAGGTCGTTGTGGCTCATGGAATGAGGGAGAAGTGGAAGTGAGTGTCTTGTCGTACCACAGGGAAGTGTACTCTATCTGCATTCTAGCCCCATCATTTGGCTAGATGGTGCCACCTTTCCTGAGAAGTACATTCTGCTCTTGTTTCTTTAAATGGTATCCAGGAGAGTCGTAGGTGATGACATTAAATGCTAGTCTTTCTTCCAAATAAGAGTCTCTCCTATGGCTTCCTAAAATAATTCATCCATAGTAACTGACTAGTTATTCTGCTACCTAATTACCTCTTCTCCTCAAACTTAATGAGATTCTCCCTTCCTTTTTCTTTTCTATGCTTCAGTCAGTTTTTATTACTTCAGGCCCTCCAAACGTATTCTGATGACATCTTGTCTTCTGAAACAAATATCAAAATTGATCCCACGGCTGGCCCAAGGCTCATAACACGCAGGAGGAATCTCTCTTATTCACCAGGGTATCGAAGAGGTGACCTTGAGATGTCAGCCCTGGATCCTGACTTAGAGAATGATGATTTCTTTGTCAGAAAGACTGGGGCTTTCCATGCCAATCCATGTGTTCTCCGGGCTTTCGAAGACTTCAGGAGGTTTTCTGAGCAGGATGATCCTGTAGAGAGAGATATAATTCTTCAGTGT